ACACAGGGCTTGAAAAATGTGATAGTGTCTCACCAGTCAGCATGACCTGACTATAGCCTTGCAATTTATGTTAAAAAATTTGGGGGACAGATAGAGCTTTACTGGGCACCAAGACCCTCTATACTGAGCTAACTGCTGTGCCAACTAGGAAATTACTTCCCCTACCCTATACTGTCCTCACTACTGTGCCATACAGGGACTGTACCCCTCTACAGATAGTAAACACTCCAATATCAGATACCCTCCCCCCCTGTACAGTACTAGCTCTGGCCCCCTCCCCATACACCGAATACACTCGGCTTCACTGTCCCCCTATACACACAGTGCCCTCCCCTTGAAACGTACACTCAGTGGTGGGCCAGGAGGCCCCCTTGTATATGGAGGACACTAATGAGCCCCTGGGTAGCCCTCTGTTTAAAGAGGACTCTATGGTAAAGTCAGGAGCCTCTGTATATACAGGCTTCTATGATAGAACCAGGACCCCTGTGTGTCCCCCTGTACATACAGGACTCTATTGTAAAGACAGGACCCCCCTATGTGCCCACCAGTATATAGAAGACTCTATGGTATGGTCAGGTGCCCTGTGAACCCACCTTGTGTATATATAGGACTCTATGGTAAAGTCAGGACCCTCTATCTGCGCACCTGTATATAGAGGAATCTATGGTAGTGTCAGGTGCCTTGTGTGCCCCTCTCTATGGTAGAGTCAGGAGTCATCTGTACACACAGATCAGTGAGAATCCGCTGTATACACAGCTCTGCCCTGTACTGCCCCCTGAATATAGAGGCATCTATATAATGAGCCCCTGTATGCAGAGCCCTCCGTGCTGTGCCCCCCGGTATAGAGTTCAGTGCTCACAGGCTGCTCGCGCTCTCCGGCTTTCCAGTCTCGTCTCTGTCAGGAGGTACGCGGCCCGCTGCCCGGTGCACGTCGGGAACTTCGCAGAGCTCCTCCCTGCATTCGTGGACTGAGAGGAGATCAAAGGGAGTTCGTGTACTGAACTCCCTTTGATCTCCTGTCACAGAGCCGTGCCGGTCCTGGCCGCATCGGGCACAGCGGATCTCGGGACCGGCAACGGCAGTGACATCTGCTGATACAAGCTATGGAGCGTCTCTCGAGACGCTCGATCGCTTGACTGTAAAGCTCCCAGCCGGCCGTGTAATTACAACGGCCGGCCGGGAAGCTGCTCGTCGGGCTCCACCGTCCACTCGTCGCAGACGAGTGGATTTTTCAAGCCCTGTATATGTATGTATGTATGTATGTATGTATGTATGTATGTATGTATGTATGTATGTGTATATATGTGTGTGTGTATGTATATATATATATATATGTGTGTGTGTATGTATATATATGTATATATATATATTTGTACAGTATAGGCTTTATTTTGCAATCCAGTTTAATAAAAACCCTGCTCAGTTTTTGTGTAATTTTCTTGTTTGTTTTTTTTAATTTATTTTTTGTTTTTGAATGCTATGTTATCTGAAAGTTGTAGTTATTAAACAGATATATTGCAAGCTTCAGTGGCATCTGCGGGCTGAAGTCCTATATTGTCAATGAAGCCTCCAGTTGATATGTGATCACTTTTGTTATAGCTGACATTGTTAAAGTGACCCTAAACTAAAGAAGTTAACCCCTAAAAATTTATTCAATACATTGCCTTTCAACATAAATGTAGGTTATTTATGTATTACTCTGCTGTAGATCCTCAAATCATCTCTGAATTCATGCTGACAATGTCATTCCTTCAGGAGGGTGGCTACTTCTTTCGTTCCCTATGGTCCCTGTGTGTGTTGTAAAGTAGCCACCGCTCCAAGCTCACTCCCGTGATGGACTACAATCTCACATTTTAGTCAGACTAACTTCAATACAAATTAGCTATCACAGGAGCGAGTTTGGATCGGTGGCTACATTACAACACACTCGGGCACCATGGAGAACAAAAGTAGCCACCCTTCAGAAGGAAGGACGGTGTCTGAATCAATTCCGAGGTGATTTGAGGATCTGCAACTGAGTGATACACAAATAACCTCCATTTATGTGAATAGTTGAGGTGCTTGAATGCATTTGTAAGATGTAATTCCTGAGTTTAATGTCTCTTTAAAATGAGCATGAAACACTCCGAATCCTTACAAAGTTTGCTTTTTAAGTAGGGCAATTTTTTCCAGACTGAGTGTGAGTACCGATGCCTTATTTCTTTTAACTGTCAAGGGACAGTTTTTCTAAAACAATACAGACTAATGATTTTAAGACACTGGTAGGGCACCGGGGCCTGGTTGCAGCTGCAACCTCTGCACCCCCTGGTAGTTCTGTCACTGACTCCAAGCTGTAGAGAGGCTACAAATCTCAGCAATATATTATACACGAGTGTGGAAATTTAAAAAAACAAAACAATAACTTGCCCAAGGACTAAAGCGGGGGCCCAATCTGCTTGTTCCTTGTGTTAATCTACTTGCCATGTTACAAAAGATCATTTTAACCAAAACCCTATTTAACCTTGCTGAAAAGTGCATCAATCATGCGGTCAGGTGACCAACAAGTGCTCGCATATTTGTGGGCGAAGTTCAAAATACTTAGCACAGGGCTGTGAGATTTGAGCGTGGAATTACATTTTCACAAATTACTTGGGAAAGTGAACTTACTCTTTAATGGGGGCAGCACTCAGTGCAAACACACACAATGTCCATTTGCATGCAAGATGGTAAGTGCAGCAAGGTTCGTTTTAAACTTTTTTTTTTTCTCGCTTAACTTTTATTGCCATCACCCATGGGCTACGAAACCATTGAAGAAGGGGGGTAGAATGACAAGAAGACTGCTTATAAGTGATCTGGGTGGTTGTATAGCCATCCAGATCACTTGTACGTAAGACCTTCCTTTCTCTACATTTAGCCCTACTGCTTTTGCCTGCAGCAGGACTAAATGTAGAAGAAAAATACCTGCCTGGCGATCCGGAACTGCTTGTTCCGGTCGTCGGGCCATACGTATTATGCACTCCTGTATACAGCAATGCAGAATACCACTAGCTATAGAGGACTACAAATCTCAGCAATACATTATACAGTAATGCACAATGTCACTGGTTATAGAGGACTACAAATCCCTGGAATACATTATACGTACAATGCAGAATAATAATATATGAATTTTTTTAAATATTCTGTTTTGCTGCTCTGCTGTGGGGTGTTGGCCTGATATCTTAGGCAGAGGGTCTTTCTTGGGCTCCGCTGCCCCTCCTGTGGGCCCGAGACCGGCATGTCGGGCGTTGGCGCAAAGCGGGGATGTGGACAGGCGACCATTTGGTCCCTCAGCTGTCATTGCTCGACTGCTGGGCAGAAGCTGGGCAATAAGCTATTGGAGCGCCATCTGAGCTCCAATAGCTTATTTGGAGTGGAAAGGTGACGGGTCTAATTGACCCCTAATATCACCTTAAAGAGAACCTGTCACCGCTAGTATGCTATCACATAGGGGGCTTGTAAGTCCCCTTATGTGATAGCAATTAAGTTTAAAAAAAATAAAGATTAAAATGCAAAAATATTTTTTTTTAAACGTTTTAAAGGCCCCGTGCCCCGAGCAAGTGCATATCATTGTAAACACGCCTCAGGTGCACCTATGTACGAAATCGACTATAGCCCTACACATGCTAGGTATGGCCGTGTTTGCCAGAGTGAGAACAATAATTGTAGGGCCAATATTCACAGGGCCAATATTAACAGATCTCTCAACTAATGACCTGTATGGTCTTTTAAAGCGTTGCCTATGGACAATTTAGGGTGCTGTATTTTGTCACTGTTTAATGGTGACATTTTTTTACCATGGACATGTTGGGTATCTATTTACTCATTATAACCTCATATTTTACAAAAAGAAAAAAAAATGGGTAATAGATTTTGTTTTAGGGCACTAAAATTAAGTGCATAATTTACTGTATTTTTGGGTTTGCTCTAGAGTTGCGCTTTCAGAAAATATACGGTATAATGTTTGGAGGCATAAAATGCGGATAATGTGCAAAAAACTAAAAAAGGCAGCAAAAGGGTTAAGAGGCAGTTTTTTTTAGTTGAAATTGGTAAATCATTTACAGAGCAAACAGATTTCTTAAATTTTTTTTCTGTTGGAACTTTGACATGAAAAATTTAACTTCAGATGTTTATAAACTGAAAGGTTAAATGCTCAGCAGCTTTTCTCACACACTAGCAAACTTACACCTGACTATAAATTTACCTTGAGTAAATGTACAGAAATCCTTACTTCATACACTTCAACTGGTGATACACTCATACAAACGAATTCACCACAACATGTTCAATTTACTCATTTCAGAGGACTCCAAACTCGCCATGCCTTATTTTTATGCAAAAAAAATTGTCTTTGATCACATTCAGTCCCTTTTACTACTTCAAAGATTATTTTCTGTTCACAATTTGATGAAACTCATCTTCACATAAGGTAGCAGGGAGCCATACAATTGGGCAAGATCCAGACACAAGAAGACGGGTGTCTTCTTCTTTTTTTTTTTTTGTCCTCCGACTTCTTTTATTAACGAGTTGTTTTTGCCCACAGAATTTCCATTCACTGGATGTTTATTATTTTTCAGAGTCAGCTAAACGCTTGCAAAAAATTCACCAGCTGTCAGTAGTTTAAGTTTCTGAAACCACATTTGGTAAAGCCTAGTATACACTGTGAATTTTTGCCGGTTCTTTATGAACCACCCGAAATTCACTCAGTGGCTGTCGCTGTGCACGGGCGGTGCCCGCTGTCGCAATACAAAGGAAACAGCGGAGGATTCATCCATCAATGATTGTAAGAGTTGATGGAGGAATCTGTTATTTTTTTAATTCAGCCCGAATGTTGAATGAAAAGAATCGAACAATATATGGCCAGCTTAACAGTCAATGTTGCTTAGGTCTCACATTTGCCTAATGTTTGAAACATATGTGAATGTTTTGTTCTATATTTGTGTATTTTTTTTCTCTAAAAAAATTGTTTATTTTTCCTACAGACTGACGCTTCATGTCTGACTTGGGAAGGACAGCAGTATCAAGGGAAGGATGCTATTATTGAAAAAATATCTGTAAGTGTTATACTTGCATTATGGAATTTTTTTTCACATTAAATTTGTTTCTTAAATTAGAAACTTGTCTCCCTTTTCTATGTCCCTGAACTATATGTCTAATTGTAATTTAATGTTGTGCTGCAAAAGCTCAAATCGGGCATGTTGTTTTGATTTGCTCTGGCTGAGTCTCCTGTTCTATATTGTTTATACACTGTGGATATACTTGCTTGCAAGGAAAGTTTAGGTGGGGAAGAGGATTTATGTCAGGAAAACTTGTATTTGCATCTATGAGCACGTCCTCTCCCAGCAATCCCATCTTATTTCCCTGGGATATGGAAAAAGAGCAGGAAACTGAGCTGGATCCAATGATTACTTTTAAGACTTTTTGTGCAGCACTGACTTGTATTTTCATAGTCCATCTAGTCCTGGTTAGACATAAGACTGTTAAAGCAGACATAAATAAACAGAAAAACAAACACAAAATTCCTCGGGTTTAGAGCTTTTTGGCAGAATAGACAGTGAATGTCTCTTCTGTAAAAAACAAACTATTTTATCTAATGCATCTGGTGGTTCAGTTATGGTTTACAGTGCAAGCTAGGTTGTATTTGTTTTTTTTAACAATCAAAAAACTGCCAATTTGCAGGCTTTCTATGTTCAAATAGGCTGGTTAAGTCTCTTCTGCCATAAAAGTATCTAGCTGCCTGTAACAGCTCAGTGTACAGGCTCAGCATGCCAATATGATGTAACATGCGCATGAGTTACATCATTGGGGTCCAGGCAATTAAGTGGCCGAAGACTTGAGGGCTTGTTCACACCATTTCCACACCAGATCTGGGTGCATTCCTGAAAACATAGTACAGTGTTTTGTTTTTCCAAGCTTAAAATTGCCATTTAGGTGCATTCCAGTGTGTTGTATTCATTTTCGATGCGTTATATAGGAAATATGTAAGTACATGTGGAGTCTTTTTTTTTTCTCACTACGTACTCTGACTCTGCTGCTGTATCTTTTCACAATCTATGTCCTATTTGGCTGTTTAACTGAAAACCGTACACTTCTGTGTGGCTGTTCACTTATCTAGGTTTATGTGAACCCCAAATTTGTTTTCTCGATTGCTCATTGAGGGGCACAGCACATTCAGGAAACCAATCACTGACTGCTAGAGGAGAATGCTAGGTGCAACAAAAAAGCACTATAAGGTGCCAGCACCACCTATTGGCTATTTTCTGGTAAGGTTTAGTAGGATACCACCAGAAACCAGCATATAATCCGCTTTGAAAAAAAAAAAAAAACTTTGTTTAAATTAGTAACACTTCTTCCCCAAAAATTCTTCCAATATATAAACATTAAACGGGTAAGAAATGAGCAGGTACGCCCAAAAAAGATGAGAATGGGAGATTAATTACACGACGGGGAGAAGGTTGAGGTATTAAATTAATTTTTCTCCTCCATATACACGCAAGAAAAAGATGGGTTTAATGGAGATAAGATGGTGAGTAGCTTAGGCCGTAATATATACCGCAGTGGTTGACGGTAGCCGGGGTTCAACAAAGAATTGAAAAACTTAATGCAAATAAATAGTTAGGACCAGATAACCTGCACCCTAGAGTACTTCAGATATCAGCCAGGATATAGCTGGACCATTATTCCTCATTTTTCAAGGACTCCATACTGACTGGAAAGGTATCAAGTAATTGGTGTAAAGCTACGGTAGTACCAATATTCAAAAAAAGGTACGAGATGTGAATCGGGGATCTACATACCAGTCAGTTTAACAACATCAATAGTATGCAAACTGTTAGAGGGAATGATAAAGGACTATTTAGTGGATTTTGTTCATGACAAAGGTATAGTAAGTGATAATCCGCACGGATTTATGAAGGAACGTTCTTCTCAGACCAACCTACTAACATTCTACGTTGAGATGAGTAGACATCTGGATATAGAAAAGCCAGTGGATGTTGTGTACCTGGATTTTACGAAGGCATTTTACACAGTACCACATAAATGCTTTTAATGTCAAGCTTAAATCTATGGGCATAGATTAAATGGTGTGTACATGGCTAGAGAACTGGCCCCAGAGTTCTGTGCTAGGCCTCCTACTGTTTACCCTGTTTTATTAATGATATGGGAAAAAGTTGTTAATAACCATGTTGTGTTTGCAGATGATACTAAAATTGGGAGGGTAATAGACACGGGCTTAGACATTATAACATTACAGGCGGACCAGGCTGAAATAGGAGTGGGCAACTATATGGCAGATAAGGTTTAATGTTGAAAAATGTGAAACAATGCATTTTGGGGTTAAAAATGCCTGTGTGGAATTCACATTATTGGGTACTCAACTGGGGAAGTCAGAAATGGAAAAAGATTTGGGGGTCATAGTAGACCACAGATTGAATAACAGCATGCAATGCCAGGCTGCAGCAAAGAAAGCTAACAAGAGTATTGTATTCAGAAAATATATAATGTTGGGGGGTTTTCCGTCATTTTCAGGCCTAAAATGTGGAATATAACAAGGGTGCAAAAATGGAAAAAAGGGCCTCAGTCAGAAAGGGGTTAAACTGTACTGTAGAGACAAAGCAATAATTTTGCCACTTTATAGATCACTGGTGCGGCCTCAGCTTGAGTATGCGATTCAGTTTTGGTCACCAATCCACAGAAAGGATGTCCTGGAGCTAGAGAGTCCAGAGAAGGGCAACAAAACTAAGGGGCTGGAGGATCAAGGCTATGAGATGAGGTTGCTAAATGTAAATTTGTTCACGCTGGAAGTGAGGCGATTTAAGGGGGACAAAATGTTTGGTGGTGATGACAACATCAGCAATAAACTTTTTACTCTAAACTCCCTAACAAGGACTAGAGGCCACCACCTAAAATTGGGGAGAAAAGATTTAACCACACATGGTGTAGGCTAGAGCTGCAACAGCTAATCGATTTTTAGTTACACAAAAAATGGGCTGAAAAACGAGTATATACGGTATTTGGTCACCTACAAACAAGCAAGAGTTCTGGCTCACACAGACCTGTACCTTCTTTAACTACCTCCCGGGCAGCCGCTGTGTATACACGGTTGGCCGGGAGCTTCTTGGATGTAACTGGGCGTGTATACACGTCCTGTTACATCGGAGCGAAAACGACGATTGCGCCCATTACGCCGCACATGTTACATATCGCTGCGAACATCTGAATGAGAGCAATAGTTCTAGGGCCATCAGTCTCTCATAGTTGAGGTCTACCTATGATGCCAATTACAGGCCTCTCATCTTTTTAAGTGGGAGAACTTGCACAATTGGTGGCTGACTAAATACTTTTTTGCCCCACTGTACATTATATACAACGCAATGCAGAATACCAGAAGTTACAGGGGACTACAAATCCCTGCAAAAGTACATTATAGTATAATGTTGTACTATTACTGGCATTTGTTGTATTCCTCTATATAACTGGTGGTATTCTGCATTTGTGCAGTATAATCATTCTACAGCGCACTGCAGAATACCACCAGCTATAGAGGACTACAAATCGCAGCAATAATACATTATATACAGCGCAATGCAGAATAACGCCAGCTACAGAGGACTACAAATCCCATCAATAGTACATTATAGTATAATGTACTATTGCTGCATTCCTCTATAGCTGCTGGTATTCTGCACTGCGCTGCTGTATAATGTACTATATTGCACACCACTTCTTCTTTTTTTTTTTTTTTTACTTCCACCGTGCCAAGCTTGCTCCTGTGATGGACTACAATCTTAATAGAAACTAGTAGTCCATCACTGGAGCCTCCTTTTTTTTTTTTTTTCATTTTAACTTAATAATCGGCTATACTAATCGAATATGAAAATTTAATTTTTAGCTGCAGCCCTAGAGTAGGGGCTTCTTTTCAGTCAGAGTGGTTACATTTTGGAGCAATCTGCCACGAGCAGTGGTATCGGCAGAAAAATCATTCAAAAATCAATTGCATACCGTCCTAAGAGACTGACATACAGGGGTACAGGAACTCTTAAAAACTAAGACCACACAGGGACTTGTATATACACACATGCATGCACAACACACAGACACACAGAGATTCAATTTGATGGACCAGTGTTAAGGTAGCTCTTTTTAACCCTTTTAGCGCCAGAGACATTTTTGCAAAATAATTAATTTCACACATGATAAAATGCACATTTTAGGCCTGAAAAGTGATTAAAGCCCCTTTTAAAATGTATATATTTTCTGAAATCAGAGACTAAAATAGCGATTGCAGTTTTGTGTTTTACGATGTTAATGCAGCAGTTTATCAAACTAAAATTTCCCCTAAAAATGCTTTCAAATTTTAAAGCACACAAACACAATATATATAATACCTAGTTTTTTTTGTAAAATATGAAAGATGAGGTTTCACCGAGTAAATAGATCCCAAACATGTCAAGACTTAAAATTTATGCGCACCGGTGAACAGGCAAAAGAACCTAGGTACCCCAAATTGTCCATAGGTTATGTTTTAAAAGCCTGTACAGGTTATCAATTTAGAGTTGTAAGCGAATAATGGCCCTAGAATTATTGCTTTCACTGTGTTGTAACCAACATAGGTGGCGCAAAGTAATTTTCATATGTAGGTGCAGCTGGCGCATGTGTTTCTGATTGTGCATGTATGTGGGGGTGCTGGGGCACATTTTTGTGGTTATTTATTCTATTTTATTTTTATTCAACTTTTTTTTTACGCAACTTTATTGCTACGACATAGGGGACTCGGTGCGGGGGTGATCAGGTGATTTTACAGCTGCCTGGATCACTTCTATATGAAAGCTGACAGTCTGATAAGGGAGAATCAACACTCTCCTAGCTACTGTATGAGCTAGGAGTGCTATTACAGCTCCCTGCTGCCACGGTTATAGTATCTGTGCCAGCGAAAGGGTTAGTTTGCCGTTTGGTTACAGTTTATTTGTTCCCTAACCCAGTTAAGATTAGTATGTAGTAATAAGGACTTCGGTTCTCTTGTGTCTATGTTCCCTTTGCTCATTTGCCACAC